TTACACCTGGTGGATCAGTATTACACCTGGTGGATCAGTATTACACCTGGTGGATTAGTGTTACACCTGGTGGATCAGTATTACACCTGGTGGATTAGTGTTACACCTGGTGGATTAGTATTACACCTGGCGGATCAGTATTGCACCTGGTGGATCAGTATTACACCTGGTGGATCAGTATTACACCTGGCGGATCAGTATTACACCTGGTGGTTCTCATAAACAGACAGTGGACAGACAGACAGAGACAAACAGATATATAAAAAGGGAAATGATTAGATACACACATACATACATACATACATACATACATACATACATACATTTCTTTTTCATTTATTATATATTGTAAGTATGTAAAGCTAATATTCCTAATTATTTCCATGTTATATTATGTAAATTTCGTAATGTATGTAAAGTGTTGTATTGTTATTTACTGTTTGTGTTATTGTTTGCGTCAGAAGCATAAATTGTTTCTTAATGGTTATCGACACAGCAGCTGATTCGAGCAGATCCGACCAAACGAGCCAAATTGCTTCCCAGAATGAGTCGAAACATCTCTCGTAATTTTTCCAGTTAACTTCAATCGACCAATCATCTTCTTTCTTGAGCTTGAGGCCACTTAGAATCCAGGATACTTATAGCCAATTAGAATTCGGTGTTGTCTTATATAAACATAGGTTCCTCGTTCACATCTGGAGACTTACCTCACCACCTCCAGCGTTCATACATTACTTAGTTCACTCTGGATCTCGTCTTTGTTGCATATACTAGTAAAGGTAAGTTCAGCCATTGGTCTAGATCTGAGGGTATCGTCTCACCTCTCATGCTCCTACGTGACTGGTGGTAGATACTTCGCACGTAGATAGTTGCGATTGTTCGTGTGATGGTTCTATGTTTTATGTTGTTTGGGTGACCTCTAATGAGCTTGTTTACTGTTAGTGACTATATTACTACAATTACTGAGACATATTTGACGGTAGACATAGACGTAGACGTAGAATGTTATGGGTTAGTCGGACCGAACAGCCAACCCCACACACTCACACACCCACACACACACACACACACACACACACACACACGCCCACACACACACAGAGGAATATCAGGACGGGGAAACAGAGCGGAAATAGAAAGAGGGAGGAAGGGAAGGAGGGATGGAATGAGTAGGAGAGAGAGAGAGAGAGAGAGAGAGAGAGAGAGAGAGAGAGAGAGAGAGTCTTTTCACCTCACTTAATACAGTCTTTTAAAACATAATAATAAAAGGTTGTCTTCTTGTTAATAGTTTGTTTACCTGTGTTCACCTGTACTTACACGTGAGTTACTAATTAGCATGTGTCTTCTATGAGTCACCTATTTTTCTTGGGATCCTTATGTAAAACAATTAACACCCATCGTTCTATAATGTCATTAACGCTAAAAAGAGAATAGTTAATTATTATTTTAATTATTATTTTATTTTGTCTAATTAAGCCAAAAACCTGTACCTAAGGTGTATACACAGGTAAGATGATTGTTATTTATTTTTTCTTTCACAATTTGTGTACACTGTATTAAGCCTCCTTGTGTGAGCTTCTTGGAAATGTTGTCAAGTCAATTTCAGGTGATATATGACGTCTTGTGGTTGTCAATATCACTATCACATCATCATTATCGAACCTGTGTCTCTCGTGTGGCATCATCACATCACTTTCACCACCCAGCCACTACTACCCCCACTCAGTCCATCATCCAACCACCACCCAGCTACTACCACTACCCAACCACCCCTCCCTACCACCTAACCACCTCTCCCGCCATCAAATCACTACTACCGCTCCTCCCGATTATCACCACCACTACCCCATCCACCCACCATCACCCCACCCACCCACCATCACCCCACCCACCCACCATCACCCCACCCACCCACCCACCTACCCATTTCCACAACATCATCTTACATAACAATCACAGTATCGTCTTTCCTCCCCTTCATTACCAGATTCTTTTTTCCCTTCCCCTCTGCTGTGCCTCTTCTTGTTTCCTCTTGACTCCTCTTTCTTTTCCTCAATCATCTCTTTCTTCCTCCCATCCTCTACTTGTGCCCTCCTCCTCCTCCTCCTTTCTCTACTTCACCCATCTCTTTCTTATCTACCATTTTTGCTCTTGTTGTTCCTCTTTCCTCCTTCTTTCTCCCTTTCCTCACTCACCCCTTTCCGGTCTCTGGTGTCGTCCCTACAGACCTCCCCTTCTCTGCCTCGCCCTCCGCCAGCCACGCCCCCTGAGGCCCCCCACGGAGGACAGAAGTGAGATAATATCGTCTTCCCCCGCCCACGGTCCCCCTACCCACCATTCCATTACCCTCTGGTTACCATTAGTTATGCGGGTCCGCGCTGGTTATTGCCTGTTACGCCCTGCCACCTCATGGATCTCGCTTCATCCATCTCCACCGACCACCATCAACCTCCGGAGGGACCTGGATTGCCCCCCCCCTAACTACATCACCCTCGTTACGATGAACAGCTGCCTCGGGGGAAGTCTGTCCCTGGAGGTTAAAAACGTCATCATTGGGGTAATTTTTCACAGTTATATCGTCTGGTTTAGAGAGTTTAATGAGGGTTTTTTCTAGTGGTGTTTTTTGGAGGTATTGGAGGAGGGATGAGACGCTCGTGCTTGAGGGAGCGAGTTACAGGGAGTAAATAAGCGTTAAGATAGGGATCTGAGGGAGGGAGGGAAGCGGTGATGGTGCGCCGGGACGACACACACCACACTGCCTCCTGTACACTCCAGCAGAGGCCACACACACACACACACACACACACACACACACACACCACTCTGTAGGATGTTATCTAGTGATTTGCATTTACACACCCTCCTCTATAAGGCTCCTCTGAACACCCTCCACTCATACATAACCTTCTGTTTACACACCCTCCTGCAGAAGGCCCCTTTGTACCTTCTAACCATAAACTGCAGGAGGGGTCGACGTATTCTAGTGTAACATACTGTGGTGTTGAGTGTTATAATGTTACTAGCTCTCCAATGACAGCTCTTACCATCAACTGCTGTCTGGAGCTCTTGAGTGTGACGACTGAGTGTGCAGATGGACGAGATGTGTGTTCTTGCCGGTACACTGCCACGAACAGTGTTATCGTGTGTACCTTTCTCGTACAGTGTGTGTGTGTGTGTGTCGACATCACAAAATAATGAATTATCAATAGTTTGTATCGAGGTGATTTATTTTATATGGTGATTTTTACTTACGTCACCCGTCCTCGATATCTTTTCATCAATTTGTAAATAAAATAATTCGGTCAAGCAATAACCTGGAGACACTCACCCTTGACGGCCAGACACGATGTCTCTTGCAATACAAAACAACACCAATACAAAGCACTGCATCACATGACTAGGGTTACCGCCTCTCACACCATTTACACAGACACAAGTGATCCGTGAGTTGATACACACAATTAATTTGAACGTTTTAAAATATGTATATATGTTTCCTCATAAAAAATCTAGGCAAGCAAATTTCCTTAAAAAATTTGTCAGATCAAGTAAATTTCAAAAGTCACTTGCCCCCCGGGACAAATGTATGTTTCACGTAATTTGCACAGCCTGGTTAACGAGATAGATTTTAACCCTTTCACTGCCAGAGGTTTCCTTAGGCTGAATAAAATTGTATGGCGGTGGCCAGAATAAAACGATAAAGTGTTGGAATCGCATCGAAAGAGTTAACCAATTATCCCTCCCTCCTGGACACCTATAAATACTAGAATAATTTCCCTATGCATATTTAATCCGGTAATAGCATTAAACAGTTCAGCTTTACAGTGGTATTAAACATTACACAACTAATGAAGGAACAGCCAGAGAAGATAACGACTCAATATTACTTATCAGTGACTATTGTGCTGTCACCAGGACCCACCAGCCTCTCAATTAGTCTTCCATCAATTTCTTGCTGGGCGCATTAATTAATTTATCTATTCTGTAGATTTTGCTGTAATTCGATTATTCTCCCCAACCCCACGTGTGGACCCCAGCGGGAAAAAAAATTGACGGCTTTGATGGAGGCGTCCCTGGCTGTTCTATTTCCTCTGTGTCATTGTTCGTAAACTAAACTATAAAACCATCTCTCCGATACAAACTGAACCAACATGAATTACCATGACAACTCTGCCGGTGAAACATCTTTAGCCTTTATTGATTTCTACAACCAAGGCTATGTTGTGTTGTGTTGATTTTTTTTGTTTTATAATTACCAAGATAATCTGCCACGGGCCCTTACCTGTAACACCTGGCTCTCAGGACGCCTAACAGTGAACAGAGTCGTGCTTACAACCAAAAGATATTGATGATTGTAAATTTGCTTTGTAATTGTCTGGTCGTTATAACCAACTACATACTGTACTTCTTTTCCAACGTAATTATATTTACTTATATGGCAGCGTAATGTGTTCTCATAACGTCTTTATTTGTAATGGAAGTGAATTTCTAAAACTATACAGTTGGAGCGAAGAATACTATTATGTTTACTGAAAAAGGGTATAAAGTAAGTCACCCATAAATATATTAGTTTTTTGTTGTTAAGGATTCTATAGAAAACGACAGTAAACTTTTTTGTAACGTAGACTATTATAATTATTTTCACGCGCTACTAACAGTTCCTAAATTTAAGTAATTTTGAAAGCTATGGAAAGTGAGGATTCGCGTGGCGTAAAGGATACTAATTTCATATCAATAACACAAAATAAGATATGAGAAGTTAATGTACTCTTTGACAGCAGCAGAGTAACAATGTACAGGAGGTAATCAACAAAGATGTATTCACCTAACTACAAATAAACAAAAGAATAGAATCATACAGAATTAGAACCCATTGTTTGTACTTGTTAAAATATAAGGTTGAACAAAAGGCGGAGGTTCTATAGCGAATATACCACTTACTGATCAGTGAGAGGAGACTGGGTCGGAAAAGCACTGGGCGGATAAAGATACCATGTTGCATTAAATAACTGCATTTATTTTTTGTTTACTTACACTCCTTTGTATGAACCCGAGTACTTTGTTAGCCTTGTTTGGAGCAAATATGTATTGTTGTCTTGTGTTTGAGTAATTGTCCTGAAAGGGTTAAAGGAACTCCGTCTCCTCCTCAGATGGCTGTTGTGTCTCGTCCTCCTGCGGGAAGTTCCACGGCTGGATGTCTGTTGAACCGAAGATAACGAACACGGCGGAGGTGACGACGTACACGACACCTGTTAGCCAGAACACCGACTGCCACTCCTCGAGGCTCTGAAGAAGATTAATAAGAGGTGGTAGACTTGAGGTTTTCATGGGGGTGCTGGAGGTAATGGTGGAGGTAAAAAAGAAGTGTTGGAGGTTCTGCTGTGAGGTCAAGTTGCGGGTTTGTTGTGAGGTATGAGGTTGAAATAGAGATTATGTTAATAGTCTGTTGTGAGGCCAAGGTGCTTTGTGATTTGGGGTCAAGTTAACATTCCTGATACTGTATAAGGTCAAATTCCTAACCTGGTTTGAGGTCATGGCACCTACAACCACTGGCACAATCGTCACTATCCCGAAGGCCAAAGCGTTACTCATGCCTGAAGTTGTTCCTGAAAATACGAGCAACATTAAACAATGATAACTCCAGTGACGCAGAATATTTTCAGGTATTTGATATAAATTTTGAATGGTGGGCAGATAATGGAGGCAAATCAGAAAAAAATCTAGGATAAATTTTGATTAGATTAATATTGGTTAATGATTTTGGTGTCTAAGTGGGGGGGGAGGGGGATCTTCAAGTGGGAGGAAGAGAATAAAATATTTGCCATTAAAAGTAAATATCAAGATCATCCATAAAACAAGACTTTTTCACTTAACAAAATTATGTTAGAATTATGGTTGTATATTACATCCCATACAAGTAATTAAGTCAGGTAGATTACGAGAAAACGCCCCCATTAAGTTCCTATGTACCGAGCTGACACATTACTGATATAAGATTTCTCCAGTATCTTTACCTGCAAAATTTGGCGCGAGATCTAGGTGGTTAACGCGATGGCCGGAGCAGATGGCCCCACTGAAGGCAGTGCCAATGGTGAAGAGTGTCACTGCCAGGGTGGTGTTACAGCCTACATAACCCACTATCACTAACACCGCCCCCGGCAGTACCAAGGCTGTAGACAGTTAACCAAGTAAGATGGTGTACGACAAGGTGTTAACTTGGGTCCTGTGTTAATATTCTTTAACATTGAAAACTAGTGAATGGAAAGCAGTAAGCCGTATATTATGCAAGAAGTTTTATAAGGGAACACTTTATTTTTCTCCTATTATGCTCACTGTTACTGGCAGTGGACGAGAAGGACTAAAAACTATGCCATAAGTCCAAGTAATCTTACAAATAGTGGCGAAGATTTTGCGAGACCAACAGACAGTGAGGTACTTGTGGGTGACGAGCCAATCACTTAACTGACCGGCGATGTTCCCACCTACAAACATCGACAGGAAGGGTAGAGCGGACAAGAAGCCGTTCTGGTGGGAAAAAAAAACAGGATATATTAGAAGGGAAAAATTAGTTGTCAAGTAACGGCACGAAGGGTGGGTCGCCTAGTATAGAAAACATAGAGAGAAAACAGTCATGATAGGAAATATGGCAGCGGAATTGCAGGTTTTTTATTCCAGGAAGAGACTTTGTGTTGATTTGAAACCTTGTTCATTACTGACAAAAGTTAATGTGACTGAATTTGTTTACTTAAGTAACGGAAAACCTTTTCTCATAGCTGTGAGAGGAAGAGGCAGATGAGGTCTCCTTGTTCAATTAGCCACTAACTAAAAGATTCATTCTCTCCACTTGCTCTGCCTCCGAGACCTTAGAGATCCACGACTTTTAGTTCTCATTTGAATATCTTTGAATTTTAGTACAATTAAGGTATTAAATGACTTTTGATAAAAGAAGAATTATAAGAGGGAAAATACATATATATATATATATATATATATATATATATATATATATAGACAGTATATTTTTAATTCTTAATACTTTGAAAAATTAATAATATGAATGTCAAATTTGGAAATGGAACCCACTTTTTTTTTTTTATTATTGGGCACTCTCCTACATCCTTGTATAAGGTGAAGCGCAGAAGCGTTTACAGCCCCCAACAGGGAAGCATGCTAAGTTCATGCTTGCCTTTATGTCGCATGAGTTAAGGACGTAGAAGCCTGAAGAGTCAGTGGTTTATGTCATCAAGTTATTGGAAGCTCCAACAACTCCCTGAATACGAATTCGCAACTTTCGACTTACAACAGGTACCTACTTTACTGCTAGGTGAACAGGGACTAATGGGGGCTAGGAAGTAAGTCCAAACAACTTCCACCGGCCCGGAAATCGAACCCGTGACATCTCGCTTGCGAGGCAAGAACGGTACCGCTTCTACCACCGGTCCCCGAAACCCACCATGAAAAACAGAAATTTGTTTAAAAACATTTAATCATAATTGACCATTGGGAGCATCATATGTTGTATTTGTTTTGTTTAATGTAAGTTTATGTCTTAAAGATTGTCATTTCCAATAGCCCCAAAGTTACATCCTTGTTAGAGCTGTATTTTCTTCTCTGACAAAGAGCAGCCGCATTACTGGGACTCTAAAAGACACAGTATGCAGGCTGCCTTATGGTAATCCTGAGGAAGATGTCAACGCGCCCGAACAGTAATTTCTAGATGATCAGTTCTGAATGGTTTTAGGCTGAAAGATCTTACTGTCTTAATGGAGAAGCCGAGGACGCTGCTCATGTAGATGGGGAGCTGAGTGAGTAGTAGGTTGAAGCCGAACATAGAGCCGGTGTGGGCGGCGTGTGTGGCCCAGAGTGGCGCACTGCTGAGGAAACTCCACCACGGGGTCCTGCTGGGCTGAGAGGAGAGTTGTTACATAGATCACTTCATTGTATCCTTGTCTGTGTTACTGTCGTTAGTTAAGATTTATTCGAGACATAGAATGAAGCGGGTTTATTGTGGTCGATGTGTATAATAATGAATAGGTAGGTTATTCATTTTGTGCTGCATGTGTGGTAACCCTGCCTTGTCCGTCACTTATTATGTACCGAGGGATTAATTAGACCTCACCTGGCTGTGTATACAACTAAGGTAATGTATGATAAGTTAACATAGATTATTACGGAGTTACTTAAAAGTTTGTCACATTACTTAACATTCATTTCATTAAGACTCCATTACTTAGACACTATACAGTATACTACCGTACATTAGTTTACCTTCAATACGACCTTGTTATGCGTGATTGCCTCACCTTGTTATGCGTGGTTCCCTCCTGGATGGCGTGCAGGATGTAGCTCCTCTCCTCAAGGCTGATTTTAGGGTGCTGGTCGGGAGAGTCGTGCATGAACAGCGCCCACACCACCACCCACACCAGAGAGACGCCCCCGGTCACGTAGAACACGGCTGGCCACCCCACCTCCGCGATGATCATCCCACACAGGGGCATGGTGATAATGGTGCCCAGGGTGTTGGCTGGTGGTGGTGCAGTTATGGTGGTACAGTTATGGTACTGACTGTTAGTGGTGCAGTTATGGTGCTGGTTGTTAGTGGTACTGTTATAGTGTTGGCTGTTATTGATACATAATGATTCATATCGTCTCTTCCGCAACAATATTTTTACAGTTTCTTTAGGAATAAAAAACACCATTTATTGTGTTACTTCCGTACATTAATTTATCATTACAAAAAAATAATTAATCTTAACTCAGATATACTTGTAGGTAGTATACATATACAGTATAATATACATATAAATACACATATACTTACACATATAAGTGAAAGCCATGAACCTGGATCGTTCAAGAGGCGGGATCCACCTGGCGACCATAGTGTTCATGGACGGATACACCACACCCTGTACAACACAATACCACACCCTGTACAACACAATACCACACCATGTACAACACAACCATCATTACTACAGCTTAACTTCCTTGCTATATCCCTACACCTCAACTATGAAATATTCCTATGCCACTGTTGAATATTTTGTATACAGAATTACGATCTTTTTTTTCATTTCATTGTTTTATCGTAAAATGAAGTACTAAGACAGGTTTTATATGTGCTATGGCAGTGTAGGGAACATATAGAATAGTACAGGTTGTAAAGTAAACAGTAATGATGGTGTTGTGGCCATTCCATCACTACCACTTCCTCCTTCACCTTCCCTGGTCCTGGCTCTCCTTTATCCGTAGCTTGAGTGATTTTTCGTAATATTTTGCGTCATTAAAAGTAATATTATGGTCCTCAGAGAATTGTTCACTTGAATGAGTATTCCAATGGCGTAAATATTTCGATGTAAAGAAACTATAGTGTGAATAATTTAATGAAGTAAATTATAAAAGAAATTAAGAGTACATTATAGGTTGTATGTGACTCTAAGATACTAGACCTCTCACCTGAGACAGACCAATGACAGTTCTGAGCAGCATAAGGACGACGTAGTGAGATCGGGCGGCCAATGGGGTGAAGAGGGTAAGGACGCCGCCAATCAGTATGGCTCCACCGAACACCCGCTTCGTCCCATACAACTCTCCGAGCCGCCCACCTAGAATCTGTGGGTTGGGAAGGGTAAGCGGGAGGGAATCATCTTTTAGCGTGAAGATTAACTATTAACGCAGAAACTACGTAGTATTGAGTGATCAGAGGTTATGATAATGCGATAATTATTGCTTAATATAAGTAAATTAGAATTACCTAATAGTTAATTCTGAAACAAAAATATATGAAAGTGCGATTTTTTCTCTTCTCTTGTTTTCCCGTGTACACCATTCACGATCGATAAGGTCATTGTTGTTGAATGTTTTTAACCTCTTTTTGTGTCTACATTAGTTAAATACTGGGATGAAAACTTTGTTATGGGAAGTTAATGTTTTCGTACGAGTCAGGACACTAACGCAGGTTAGGCAGTAGCCGTAGAAGAACCCGCCGAGCACCAGGCCTCTCTCTGTCCCCGTCAGCACCATCTGTTGGCCGCAGGAGGAAACACAAGTCATTAATTTGGTTGTTTAATTTATCTGTTTACCATTTATCAGTTTTACTGCCATTCAGGAGTTTCGTACCTGGAGAAAACTTGCAATGTTTGGTATCTACACTTAATAACACCCTTCCCACGTTTGTCCCAGGCCGATCGAACACTGGACATTAACGTAAGAGGTACAGTATGTGTGTTATTGCAATATTTATCTATTATTTAATCCTTATCACCTACTAATCAAGGACCAGGTTAAGTTACATTTTGTTAGTTTTTGTTTTCCGTATCACATTAAAAATAGTTCTGTACACACGTATCCTGAGGCGCCTCACCGTGTCACTGAAGTCTTGGGCTGTGTTGTTTGTTTGAGAAGAGTTGCCTGATGACTCCAACTTGACATCGACCGCTTCCTCTCCCGAGACCGACCGATTTACCTGTATGGTGGAAACACGTTAATATGTGTGTGTGTGTGTGTGTGTGTGTGTGTGTATAGTCTACTCTACATACACATACATATTCCAATAAACTCATAAATTAAGAGACAATCCGAGATGTGTACACTTGCTCTAGGTGTACTGGAGAAAATATGTGTAACTATGAACACAATACCTGGTTGAGTGTGCTGCAGAAGGCGGTGTGGGGGGCGGTGGTGGTGGTGTAGTTAGTGTTTGGTGAGGCAGTGCGGACCATAGCCACGATGGCGACGGAAAAGTTGACCCTCACTAAATACAGTGCCACCACACCCGCAGATGTCAACAGTGCCAAAGATACCCGGGCAGGCAGCGCTATTGGTGGATACAATATACACGTGAACGAGAGTGTTAGTATTGTTTAGTTATCCCGTAAATTTTAATTGCCTTTACTTGATACCGTAATATATTAAATTCACACATAAAATAAGCCTAAGTTCCCCATTACTACTCTACACCCTA